CTCAAGAGCCGCCACCTAGGCCTGCCAGGCCATTCTAAGGAGAGGCCGGGCCCTTTGAGGCTTAGCTATGTGTTGTTTCGGAGCGGGATTTGTGGGTCCATGAGGCTCGGACACTCGGGTTCGTAACGACACACTAGTATGAGTTGTATTTGTATGATTTTTGAGTAGAAGCATGTTAACAGACAATGTATGAAATTGGTCCCTGAGTATTTGTTTGACTATTGATTCAAAGTTATGAAGTATCAGGTTGGCATCTGTTTACAAGAGTTATTTGAGTAATATTGCATTGCTTAGGTCATGAGTAGAAGAATTGATGAGATTATTCAGATTGCTTGCATAAGTCACTGTTTTCCAAACATTTCATTAAAAAGTCTGTTTTGCCACTTTAAAGATTATTGCACAATAGAGGGCTTAAAGTGAAGCCCTAAGCTATTTTCAAATCCTTATATCTATTTTGGAAAATCTATATCTATATGCATTGAGAAGCTTGCATGATAATTTGATTTCTAATATGAGAAAGAGAAGTTATATGAGATCTATATGTGCATTGAGAAGCTTGCATGATATCTAGATTTCTAGCATGAGAAAAAGAAGTTGCATGTGATATATATATATATATATATATATATATATATATATATATATATATATATATATATATTATATCGACTATACTAATAAGAGCCTAATAGAGTTAGGCCTATAATGGGTAGAAAAAATGGCGGTCAAATTTTTTAATCAAATGAATGGCTCAGATTGATCAGATTTTAATTTTTCCTTTAAGATTTCCTAATTTATCCTTAATGAATATAATTTTCCGTTAACATTTCCGTTAAATATTATCTTTTCCGTTAATTTCGTTTAGTTCACCGTTAACTTACTCATTGATTTTAATAAGAAAGGTCTTAGGTCGAACCTCATCCCAATCAAAGTTGGCATAATTAGTACTCAATTTTACTCTTATTAAATTAAAATAATAATTTAGTAGCTACAACAAAAAATAATTCATATGCATTTCTTTAATTTAGAATTATGTGTCTATAATGTCTTTATTCAAAAAAATTATTCATTATCAATAAATTAAATAATAGAAATAATTTTATTAGTTATATTGTATTTATTTTTCTCCAATATAAAAATTCTTTACATTCAAATTCATCAATTGATTATATTCGCAACATTGTCTCTACAATGTCTTTATTTAAAAAAAAAAATTATTCATTATCAATAAATTAGTTAAGAGAAATAATTTTATTAGTTATATTGTCTTTATATTTCTCAAATGTACAAATTCATCAATTGATTATATTCACTACATTGTCTATTTTTTTTTTGTGCACTATTAAAACACTATTTTTTTAATTAAATATCAAAGTTATAATACCAAATAATGCTATATATTTATTTACCAAGTATTTTATTAATACCATGAAAAAATTAAAAAAAAAATATAATTAATAAAGTCAATCATATCAACTACTTGAGGGATTTGTTGACAAAGAGAGTATTCAAATCACACAACAAATTGAAGTGAGAACTACCTCGCAATGTCCTTGTTTGACAATCAGCAGTTAGCAATTAGCATTAGCAGATTATATTAGCGAATTTGATCAGCAAATTATATCAATGGTTGGTAAAAAGATATTTAAAAAAATTAGCTGTTTAGATTAACATGTAAAATAACCTAAGTGTATAATAATAATAATAATAATAATAATAATAATAATAATAATAATAATAATAATAATAATAATAATAATAATAATAATAATAATAATAATAATAATAATAATAATAATATAATAATAATAATAATAATAATAATAATAATAATAATAATAATAATAATAATAATAATAATAATAATAATAATTGTTTTAAAAAAATAAAAAATATAATTAAAACAGTCATATTAACTACTTGGGAGATTTATTGACAAAAAAAGTATTCGAATCACACAACAAATTGAAGCGAGAAACTATCTCGCACTGTCCTTGTTTGGCAATCAGCAGTTAGCTCTTCAATATTAGTATATATTTAATAGTTTATGACCTAATTTTTATTTGCACTCCCTTATGTCCCGTATTTGGTTTCAATCATACCTATACAATTATTTTATTGACAATTATAATCAATCTTAACTATATTATCTTGCATTTGTAAACTTAGAATTGCCTATTTAAATACGCAAATTTAACATTCAATTATCTATGCATGAACAATTCCAATATAATCTTGCCTTGATATACTTTAAAGTACTTATTAAAAAAAATATTGGGCATTATCCTAATCGCGCAATGCGCGTAAAAAACTAGTATATATATTAAGGGAGCAAAAGCTATGTTTTGGAGGTTCCCGTTAGGACTATATCCTTTCGGAAAAAAAGAGAAAGAAAGAAGTTTCAAGAAAAGTAAGAAACGGTCACAGAGGACCGATAGTTTATTCTAGAAGTAACTTGGAAGAACAATCCCGAGTTGCTAGGTTCGATACTACCCGCTAGGCTTGGAATCCTAGTTAGGGGGTGTGCACACTCAAGGTACAATACCTGATTCCACAGAGTTATAAGAACCATGAGTACCGATTTTGTGGGCGATATGAGTATTAGGCCGGGTAGATTGCCGAGCCAGGATAGGTCCATTCACGATTCGTGAAGTTCCTACCTCCCCCACGAGTTCATTCAAAAAAAAAAAAAAAAAAAAAAAAAAAAAACGAGTCAAGTGACTCAACAGAGATCCTCCACAGAAAAGTATTTCTTTTTAAATAAAGAGCGAGGGTATAAGTATATATATTTATAGCATCACATCCCCATTTATATCACGGCATAGCATATGTCCTATCTTTGATTATATGAGAAGTATAGTATCGTTCATTTTGTAAGCATTGAAATGAAAGTATGACCTTATCTGATAAACATCAGTCCATTTCAGTATCTATCTTGACATTATCAATATGATTCTTAGAAGTGCATAGTAGCTTATAGATGATTTGTATCTATTTTCCGTACATGTACGTGCAAAAGTATGAGTTATGAGTTAATGCCTGTTTATATAAAAATATAGGTTCTCGAGCATATAGAAGTATATAAAGTATTCTTATTTGAGATCTATTGATTTAGTATCTTGATTGCTTATGTTCATACTTGAGAATGTGTGTGAATGAAAACTGTTTTCTAACATCTATTGTATTTTACAGGGTTGAGTGGGTTTATACTTAGCATTAATTTCTAACGGGTTTATTTTCTTATGTGCTTTTATAACCCCTTTCAGGTGGACCCAGTGCATGAAAGCACGCGTTGATAGAGTAGTGCGTAGCTCTAGATTTAGTAGATGCTAGATCCGTACCCCTCTTTCCTTATTAGTATTTTTTTTTTTTTTATGGTTGTAGTTAAACTACCTTACTTTTGTTGGTGCGTAGACACCGGGGATTGCTTCCCCTTTTTTGATGTTTTGTTGAGCTTGGACTCTAGTACTTAGTAGTTTTGTTTACCCTGCGCAGTTACTCTGAGTGGGTAACTGTGGCAGTGACATCCCTCATAGTTATTTGAATTGGATTTTATATCCTAGTTTAATTAATCTTACCTTGATTAATCCTGTTTAGATTGTTTATTTATGGGCTCTAGAGTTTAGAAAAAGGGGGTGTTACATGTATGGTGTGCTGCCAATAGGTAATTTGTAGGCCGTACAAAACGCCCATAATGCATCATCTAACTTGTCCACCCAATCCCGGGGGTGTCGAGCCATCGTCTTCTCCAAAATAATCTTGATATCTCTATTAGCATTCTCAACTTGCCCACTAGATTGGGGATGATACGGGACACCTCCCCGTGTTGCACCCCGTACCTCTAAAGAATCCTCTTCATTGCTACATTTCGGAAATGGGTACCTTGGTCGCTTATGATCACTCGTGGCATTCCGAACCGAGAGAACAACCGCTTCAAAAATCTTATGACACTATTTGGTTCTTAATGCTTCGGATTTTATCCACTTTGAAACATAGTCAATTGCCACTAGGATGTATTTGCAACCTCTCGACTCCGGAAATGGCCCGACGAAATCCAATCCCCAAACGTCAAAAACTTGACATGCCAATATGAATGTTTGGGGTATTTAGTCACGCCGTGTAACATTTCCGGTTCGCTGACATCGGTCGCACAACCGTACACAATTTTGGGCATCTCTAAAAATGGATGGCCAATAAAATCCGGACTCTAGGACTCCTCTAGCCGTGCAATTTGCTGAATGATGACCTGCTCGGTGACAATCTCCTGTAATGATCTGTCCTTCCTCATTCGTCACACATCTCCGAATCATTTGATCTGCACAAACTCGAAAAAGGCACAGTACAGTTCATCCCAAAAGTAGAATCTCGCTTCAGCCTTTAATTTCCTCCTCATGTGAACATCTAGATAGCCTGGAAGAACTCCTCCTACCAAGAAATTTCCAATGTCTGCATACCACGGGGCAATGCCTATCTCAAACAATTCTTCCTCCGAAAAGCATTTTTTATCTCTCTGCGGCATCTCTATTTCCCTCTAGCCGGGATAGACGGTCCGCTGCGTTGTTCTCAGTGCCCTTCCTAGCAACGATGGTCACATCAAACTCTTGAAGAAGAAGGATCCACTGGATCAAACGCGGTTTGGCTTCCCGTTTTCACATCAAATATCTTATTGCTGCATGATCTGTGTGAATAATGACCTTAGACATCAATAGGTATGATCTGAACTTGTCTAAAGCAAATATTATGGAAAGAAGCTCTTTTTCGGTGGTTGTATATGCTTGTTGGGGTTTGGTGAGTGTGCCAGTAAAAATTACCAATATAATGTTATAAAAATAAAAATTCCCAATGAGGTGAGGGGCATTTCATCTCTTTCCTCTCGTTACGTTCCTCCCTTGCTGCAATTGAATATTGTATAACACTAGCATAAACTTTAACAGAAAAGACTGGCATACAACATAAGAAAGAAAAAGCACATAAACATACAATCTCTTTTAATTTATTTGTTCTGGAGGTGTATGAGGTAAATGCCAAGGTTCACTGAATGTATTCGAACCGATAAAATACATTCTATGCACATGGCTCTGGGATTCCTCAACACGGTTTGTTTCCAAAACCTGAAAGTGTGTAAGATTTACAAATTTTCAGTCCCAGCCTACCCAACCAAAGTAAATATTAAATCCACAGTTACATTCCATAAGGTGACAAGATAATATATAACATTTTAGTGTACAAGGTTACTGAGCAAACCTCATTTAGTGACTCAAGAAATGGAAATGAGTGATCTATCTGAGAACCCTGTTGTGTGGGCGCAGGGCCTGGTGGCTCGTCAACACCTACAAACTTCATTCGAGCTACACTCAACACTAGGGCTAACAGAATTAAGACACCCAAAAGAAGAAGACCAAATAACCACGACCATCCAAATGTGTAAACTAACTCTTCAAGAGCTGTATAACAATGAGGCATGTGATATCTCTCTGAAACACATTTGTAAGGACAAGGTAGATCTGTAACACCACCTGTTAGGATATTAATGTTAGCTTACAGATTATTTTTTTAAATCATGACTTGGTGTTCATGAAGTGGAAATAGATAAACTAGCTAGCAATAAATTATCCACAAAATATGGATTTCAAATAGTGGAGATCTAGAAACAAACGAAGGAATCTGTAAAAAAAACCCACAGGAATGCAGTTTCCATGTCTGTAAAAGGAGTTGCAATAGTGTCTTTACCGCAATAAATTAAAAGGAACAGGTGATGTTTAATGTACCGCGGATAGAAACATAAATGGCACAATTTGGAAGATCATCTGCTGGGCATGAATACAAAGGTCTTCATCAGATCCAGTAGCATTCATAAAAGTTCAAAGTGGACAAGGCTGAGCAGATACAGAAGATAAAACCAATGATTTAAAAAGTATATCAGCAACTCAGCAAGGAAAAATGGCCAAGAAATTCAGACATCACATGCTATTTAAAAAAAAAATGTAAAAATATACTCAAACTGCCAATTTTTTGAAGCCCAAAATTGAAAGAAAAAAGAATAAAAATGCCATGTAGTTAAATGAATCATTCAACACCTATAGAAAAATATTACATTTTTTAAGAGACCCATTTGGCCATATATTACAGGAAGAGGGAAAAAAAAATAAACAAACCTTGGATTACCAAATTGCATTTCCAAAGTTTACTTTTATAAACTTGTGCATGCATGCATCAACAAGGTGTTCTTTTCTAAATGTATATTATTTTTCAAAAACATATTGCACTTCTTAGGCTATCAAAAGAATAAGTTCCGATATGTGGAAGAATTAACAATTCATTTCTTATTAGGCTTGATATGATGCCTACATAAGCATGAGATGTCATAAAAGAACACTTTTATACAACCATTACCAAGACAAAACGTTGCTTCAGAATTTAAAAACATACATTAATAATTCCCTACAGGTAAATGCTGTGATTCAATGCTAAAGAGCACTTGACTCAGGTTGTCACATTTCCAAATTTAACATTCACTAAAATCTCGCATTACCTAAAATTGAGGGGAATGAAATTTTAGGAACCAGACAAAAAGTAACTTGGAAACTATTCCCGAGAATGACAAATGCCAGCTATGGGTATTTTAGTAATTTTCCGGTTGAAGTAACTTTTCTTTCTATGATATGATGCTTTTGTGTTTTAGGAACTTTAAGTTGGAACATCTATCATGTTTGCTTTTGTGGCCACTGAGTTTACTTTGCTATGAAATCTCCCAAAGACATGAGCTAATTTTAGCCCTTGCATTTTCTCCTGTAGATACCAGTTGTAATAGCTTTCTTATCAGTGCTATATGAATATGGATTTCAGAATTTGTGAAAAAGTGTTGGCCACTTTGACCATTCCATGAGCAAAGTTTGGTTTCTTCCTCTCTTATTCTTCTCTTTGTACTACTAATTTGAAAGGCACTTGTATTCCTAATCTTCAACATTCCTATCTAATTTGTATATTACCACTTACTTTCTACCACTGGTAGAACCTAGCTCATAAATTGCTAGCATAATCTCAGATTCAGCCTGCCAATGCATCATAACATAGATGAACAAGTTCATTGATCCTATTGGAGATTAGCAAAAACATCTAATGTGTACAATTTGCATATCCGCCAGTCTAAATTTTAATCAACTTCATCATTATAACAAAATTGTAGCACATGTTAATCAAGAAATTATGGACTTACTTCACAGAATATCTCATAAAGTCCTTTGGGACAAGCTTTGCCAGATACAGTACCATTCCTTCCTTTCCACCCAGTCCACCACTGAGGAAGAAAAAAGAACAAACCAAAATTACTAGAAACCCAACATAAACAATGGCTGGAATTGAAGGTAAAAAAAAATGGTGATAATTTATAACAAGAGAATATCTCCTACAACTAACTGGAGGCTAGAAAGGAAGGTGATTTTGGAATCAACTAAATAATTTAATCATGATATATACTAACATATGAATGAAGTAATTTAATCTTGAGTGTGTGTGTGTGTGTGTAGAGATAAGTAACCTAATTTTTTGGGATATGCATTGGCATCTAGAAAATTCAAATTCCTCAACACATAGACCTACATAGAGTTTGAAGATGAAGGTTATGTAAGTAAACTTCCATCCACCAAATGCTACAAAGTATTCCTGTGCAATTAATGTCAATGTTACACACATTAAATAATAAAATAATAAAACCAGGATGAAGGATCTAATCCCAGAAAGTATGATATATATTTTATATTTTCTGGTTGCAAATAAGCACTTTGAAAGTTCAGTTTCCTGGATGCTTGGAAAAACCCTGACAATCAGTCAAAACCAAGTGGCATAGAGGTGTTCGTTATGTTTTGGATGGTGAGGATGATACAGCATCATATTGTCCTTCAAGTACCGATTACCATTACCGAAGATTTCTAATGACAATAGTTAGAAATTTTCAAACCAAACTGTAAAAGTTTCTATTAACATACGTACAATCTATCTGTTGAAATATGAACCTGACAAATTAAAAATGTTCCCTTTCACATTAGCAATGGGCTGGTATACATCTCCTGTTGGAATATCTGACCAATGGAAATGGATCCTTCCACCACCCACTGAACTGCCATCACCACCAGCACTTGACAAGATGCCAGAGTCACCAAGATCAAGAGCATGTAAAAATAATAATATAGTTAGTTCCACCTGGTCCCACGTTCAGGTCCTCTGAAATGTATAAAACCTCCACTCAAAACTGTCTCCATCAGATTTAACTAAGCCTTCAACAAATAAACTTGACAACGGATGCTCAGATGAACCCATGACTGAAGTAGAAACAAAAGGAATCATACGAGGAAAAGAATCAAGACTCAAAGTAAAGCAGATGATCTCAAGGAAAAATTATCAAGTTATAAATTACTCCCTCCGTCCTAAATACTGTCTATATTTCCTTTTTCTGTATGTCTGAAAATGCTCTCCACTTTCTTAAAATAAACCCCATAAATAATTCTACTTACCTAAGAAGAGCAAAAACCCAAAATGTTAAAAACTCTACTTTTTATGGGCAAAATTAAAGTAGAATGATCTCTTCCCCATTATCCTTAAAAATATGTTCTACAATAAATAAGGCTATTTGAGACAGAGGTAGCAGATACAAACTGGTAACAAAAGAATAGTTTATAATATACATCATGGCACAACTACATGTAAATTTGAAATATATAAATGACACATAGCCAACACCGGAAAAAGGGAAAAGAGTAGGCCACAGGAAGTGTCAGAAAGATTTGAAAAGTAGGAACTATAAATTCCTCTTGCCAGAACTTCACTAAGAACGAATCTAGAGTCAGAAAGGTGCACATCTGATTAAGAAGTAAGACCTGACACTTCGGAGTTAGAAATTCAGGACATATGGACCATTGACAATACAAGCAGCATATCAAAGCAAGATTTAGTTAGTGCTGCTAAACAAAAATAAGCATACTATTGTGCTTGGTTCAGAATTGAAGGTTCAATTTTTATGGGGAAACAAAAAAAAAAAAAAAGGGTCTCCAAGAGAAAGTTCTGCACATAAGCTGGTTGACTAGTCGGGGGCTGCCCATAAGCAGGTGGCTGCTTGTGAAGTTGGTATGCCATACCCTGGCTGAGTTGTTCCTTGATGCTGGTAATTGGCATTAGGGTTAGGATGCTGGGAAGTATGGTACCCAGGTTGGTTGGCTGCTGACTGATTTGGAGGTGCTTGACTTGTATGTGGCCATCTGCTGCTGCTGTGTTGGAAGTATTACTTTACCCAGTTGTTGAATTATAACCCTGTTGCTGATCATATCCAAGAACAGGATTTGTCCTTGATTGTAACCGGATGATGGTTGTTGATTGTAGCCATAAGCACTTCTATCAGTGGGAGCATCAGGGCCTCCAGGAGTTTGCTGCTGCTGCTGTTGTGGCCCCTGGCTGTAATAATCATAACGACCTCCGGGAGCTGTTTGTTGATTTGGATTTTATTGATCCCAGCCAGAGCCGTATCCAGTAGATCAGATGTTGGTTGAGGCATGCTATATTGGGGTTGAGTAGGGTATGTTCCAGGCTGCATATATATATCCATACCCAGGTTGCTGCATTTGTCCACCGGGCAGGGCCAAGCTAGTTGGTCCTTGCTGAGGATATGCTCCAGTCATTGCTGGATTTCTAACACGATTCTGCACAAAGCTGTTATCTAAAATGAACCACGAATAACTAATCCATACAACATTGGGCAGACACTGAAGTAAAATAGGATCGGTATACATAAATAAAATAGAACAAAATAGCCAGCAGCGATTGTTATTCTAGATATATGCAAATAAGGCAAAGATTAGACACCAACATACCGTACTCTTTGATTGGGACACAAACTTCTGCAGAGGTCCATCCTCACCCTAATTGAATAAGTGCAATAGCAGATGGCAAAAACATACTAAACAAGGTTCCAAAAGAAAGGTTTGGGCTCCTGTAATAACATCATAGGTTGCTAAGACAACATTGTTCCAAGTTTTTTCATTCCTGGCCTCCCAAATCTTCCAACAAACAGTGATCATCAAGCATTAGGGATTGAAAATTGTGATCTAACCAGTCCCAGAAAGAGGCAAAGTTCAGATAGGACACTCTGCCAATATGATCCCAACAACTCCTAGCGAAGGGACATCTAGTGTAGATATGAAAGATAGACTCCTCTTCCAAACTACACAACACACACATAGATGGAACTTGGATCTTCCTAACTCTCAACAGCTCATGAGTTGGAAGTGAACCAGAACATACTTGCCAGAAAAATACTTTGATTTTCGGGGGCAGCCACAACTTCCAGAGTCTTTGTCCAGATAGGGGATTGTTGACCTTGAAGATTTTCAGTTAGTTTCTTATAGCAGCTCTTCACATTATATTGTCCTTTTTCATCTTCATCCAAATGATCCGATCTTCAGTCTTAACTTCAGGTACAGGGATACTTCTAATAAGCTCCACATCTGCAGGAACAAAAATCTCTTCAATCACTGTCATTCCAGGCAGACTTTGCTTCATTTAACAAATCACACACTTTAGTAACTCTAATATTATTTGTCAAGGGGTTTGAATAAAAGGTGAGGAACTATTAGGCAGCCACGGATCTCCCCATATACAGATAGATTTTCCATCCACCAATGACTCTCTCTTATCACTTCTTGGGATTCAAGAACACTACGCCATATGAAGGAAGGATTCCCCCCAAGTTGAGCTTCAAAAAAAGATGATCTAGGGAAATACTTGGCTTTATAAACCTTTGCCATCAAGGAATTTGGGAATTGGATAATTCTCCACGCTTGTTTACCTAAAAGGGCAATGTTAAATTTAAGTGACGGAACCCCATTCCTCCCTACTGTTTTGGCACGAACAAAGCCTCCCACCCCTTCCACCGAATACCCCTACCTCTCTCCCCTTCTCCACCCCACCAGTTCCCATGCATGACACGTTCAATATCCTTTCCCATCTCCAAAGGCAGTAGGAAAACACTCAAAGCATACGTTGGAATAGCCTGGATCACACTTTTTAAAAGGATTTCTCTCCCAGCCCGAGACAAGAAACGATTAGTCCAGCTCTTGATCCTTCCTACAATTTTATCCTTAATGAAACCAAGGATCTCCTTCTTATTTCTCCCTATAAGCGGGGGTAAACCCAGGTAATTCCCATTCAGACTGCCCTCCCTCATTTCCAAAACCTCACTGACCAGCCTCTTAGTATTATCACTCACATTCTTGCTAAAGGTCAGGGTGGATTTATCATAGTTAACAGCTTGTCCCAACACATCAACAAATAGATCAATAATCCCTTTAACCGTATTCACTTCGGAGATATCAGTTTTACAGAAAATATAGCAATCGTCAGCAAAGAATAGATTAGAGATCACAGGAGCCCCCCCTTGCAATAGACACCCCATGAACCCTTCCCTCTCTCACCTCCCTTTGAATCAGCAGATGAAACACTTCCAGAACTAGGATAAAGAGATAGGGTTCCCCTGCCTTAGGCCCCTCCCCGGAGAAACATACCCAATATCTTTACCTTCTAGGAGAATAGAGTAACTCACAGTGGAAATAAGCTCCCAAACCAGGTTAACAAAGTGATTGGAAAACCCCAAGCTACTAAGAACATCCCGAAGAAACTCCCAGTTGACTCTATCATAGGCTTTACTCAAATCAAGTTTTATTCCCACAAAACCAGCTTTACCTTGGCGTTTCCTTTTGAGGTAATGGTTTATTTCATACGCTACCATTACATTATCCGTGATTAACCTCCCCGGGACAAAGGCTGTTTGTGAATCTGATATAAGATCATTAAGCAGAGGTTTCATACGGTTCGCAAGGATTTCAGACACGACCTTATAAAGAATATTACACAGTGCAATGGGTCTTAAATCACCCAAAACCTCAGGTTTAGGTTTCTTTGGAACAAGAACAATTTGAGTTGAGTTGATAACATTGGGTAGAGAACCAGGCTGAATACATTCAGAACAAAAATTAAGCAAGTGAGATCCCAAGATATCCCAGAAATGCTGGTAAAAAGCCGGGCTCATCCCATCCGGACCAGGTGATTTTCCAGGTTTCATATCAAACAGGGCAGATTTCACTTCCTGTAACTCTACCCTTTGACACAATAAGGTATTCTGGGACTCAGTGATTTTTGGTTGAATGACACTCAAAACAGCCTCCCAATTCCCCCCATAACTCCATAAGGCTTAAGGAGCTCAGTAAAATGTGAACACAAATACAGTACTAACTACTAAAAGTGATTAGCAGGTCTAAGTAAAGCCTTCAACACATCCTAAATTTTCATCACATAACGCAACTGTGTAGTCACTAAAGGGTCATGAACTTAACATAAAGCCTATACTCCTATAGTAGCATTAATAAATGCATTCCAAATACACAAAAATATGATTCATATATTACTTACCGTCTGTTATTTATGCCAGCCGTAAATAACATCACCATAGCTTGCAAATTTTAAAAGATACTTTGTACCTTGCAGTCCAATAAGATTATAAGAATGAATGCTCCACATTTTCATACTTGGCAGACATTCATTAATCCATTATGTTAGGACAATTATCTACTCTTTAGTTTGAAAACATACCTTAACGATCCTGATGAAGACCCAACATTATATGGTTCCATGTTTGGTGTCACACTGTCACCAACTTTTCATTAACAAACTAAGTCTAGAATAGGCCCAAATGACAATAAAAAAAACTCAGGCATGAAACTAACCCTAAAATTGATGTGACAACCCCAAAAACTATTTACTAGAAAAATCGTCTAATAGTTGTTGGAAATCTAGAGTAAAATACATCCACTATATTAGGGAAACTTATAAACTGCCTTCATACCTCAGTGAAATGGGCTTGGCAATACCTGCCTCACATGAAATCAGATATTCAATGTCCAATAAAATATCCAACAATTTAACATAGGAACTGACATATCTTAACACCTCAAAAGGCATTATGAACTTGAAAGTTAGAATTGACTTAAAATCTTAATAAATTAACTCATGTCCGCAGGTTCAACCAATACCCGAGAAAAACAAGAGAAAAGTCTGCAAAAATACTAATTCACTAGCATTTCATTTATAATACACCCTTATCAAAAATAGATAGCAGTGGGGATAAAATACTGAAATGTGTAGGGGGAAGTCGAAATTCTGTATCTTTTTGACATAAATGTGTAAAACTCACTTCCGACTTGCGTTTTTGCAGTTGTCCCGGCTGTATTTTTTTTTTTCATTATTTACTTAAAACGCAAGTAGGAGTTGCGTTTTTCGTATTGTATACGTAAAACGCATATGCCAAATACGTTTTCATGAGACGTATCGAATACGTTAAAACTCATTTGGGAGATGCGTTTTACGTATAATACAATAAAATACTAAAAACACAACTCCCAAATGCGGCTTATTTACCAGCGGCAGTCCGCCGGAATTTTTTGTAAAATGCAAGAAGCAGTTGCGTTTTACGAATTATACGTAAAACGCAAATAGCAGTAGCGTTTATGTTATTTCCGGCGCCAGTGACTTGGTATTCTAAATGCACCGGTTCACAAAATATCACTTGTTATTTCCGGGTTCAAATCTTTTGACATGGTTTTGTTAGCTCTTTATGTTTTTCAGAAAAGATTAAGTATTATTAAAAAGACAAATGTTAAAAGAAGGTGGGCTTGTGTAGATGGTTGAGTGTGTATTTGAATGTGTGTTAGGGTCGCTTGGCCTTGGTTCAAAACCTATCCTAAGCAATTTTTTTTACTCAGAGAAGAGTAAGTATTATTAAAAAGACAAATGTTAATAGAAGGTGGGCTTGCATAGTTGGTTGAGTGTGTATTTGAATGTGTGTTAGGGTCGTTTGGCCTTGGTTTGAAACCTATCTTAAGCAGTGGTTAGTGAAGTTGTTTTCTAAGTTTTGAGATGGTTAATTTTTCATACTTTAGAATTGTTTGGGTAGACCGGTGATTGAAACGTATTTAGCTAGAAATTTAAAATCAAACATATATATCATTTGTTTTTCTTAGATTTAGAAATTAAATAAATTTTGTAGGATGCACAAAACATTTTCATCTGATATGTTAGAATAATTTAGTTTTATTAGAGTATTCGTTATTCAAACTGAGCGGATTAATTCTGAAATTGTAAATGGCCATAAAAATTATATATATTTATAAATGTGTATATATATATATATATATATATATATATATATATATATATATATATATATATATTAACATTCATATAGGAACTCATCCTTAGATAGGAACCTAGGAACTCATCTTAACCATTTATTTTGATTGATCAATGGTCTATATTTATAACAAATTTTAATAGGTTATTTTACGCGATTAAGAAAATTAAGGGCATTAGTGTTAGTTGTGTTCATTATGCATATATGTAATTCCGCATTTTTCTCCGCATAAACACACCGCAATGGCGTAATCCTTCTCGAAGTGTAGAACTGAAGCACTCCCAATTTGTTGATTTCCCCTCTCCAGTTCGTAGTTTTAGTGTTTGAAGCGATGGACGACGAGAGGAATCCCAAGCAGCGAAATTTGTTGGATGCTGAACAAGTTTAAAAAATGGAGATTGACATTTGTTTAGCTTTTTGTGAAATTCAGCCGCAAAATCAAATTTTACACCGATAGCTTCGATATTTGCAATGCAATTGAGTCCAACCCTTTGTACTGAGCAGTAGCCATAATCCATACACTTCTTTTTTTCTTCCAGATGAGAGCAAGTCAAAGTTACGTTATAGCAAGCACTTGGTGCGCACTCTTTTGCCAGGTTCATCAGTTTTCTTCAGCATCATGGCACAAACTCTTTAACCCAAGTGCACACACAGTTCTATTTATGTGCAACCAAAAATGTTTAACGTCTTTTTATACAAAAACTAAGTCTGCAAATTATAGCATACACAGTGTAACCCAAGTGCACATAGTCACCCCAAGTGCAAGCAATATGGCACACACTCATCCTTTACATTATGGCATATACATTTTTAAGTAAGTGCACACAGAAATATATAACATCATTATGGTTTCCGTGGATTCAATCTATTAGAATTTTTGCACATAATGGCACACACATATCAACCTAAGTGCATGCCAGTTCATGGTCATAATAATTCTACATACATATTATAGCACCCTCAATTTTACCCATGTGCACAACGCCATCTTTAATATATATCATCCTAGTTTACAGGGATTCAATCTATCAGTGTTTTTGCACATTATGGCACTCACGGTTCATTTTTGCACATTATTGAACTCACGATTCAACCTAAGAGCTACATTGTATTAGTAGTATCAATATGGCTTCCGCGATTACATTATATTAGTAGTTTTGCACATTTAGGCACACACAATGCAATATGGCACACATAGTGCAATATGTCACACACTCATCCTCTACGTTATGGCATTGACATTTTTACACAAGTTCACACAGAAGTGTATAACAACATCATGATTTTCGTGGATTCAATCTATTACAATTTTTGCATATAATGGCACACACGGATCAATCTAAGTGCACGCCAATTAATGGTCACAATAATATTACAATTATGGCACACATAGTGTAACCCTCGTGCACACCAACTTCTTGGTCGCCTTTCTGTGCAGAAACTAATTATGCATAGTATGGCACACACGTGAAACCCAAGTGCACACCATAGCGCAACACATCATCCTGGTTTCTGAGGTTTCAATCTGTCAGTACCACTGCACACTTTGGCACACACAGTATAACCCAGGTGCACACCAGCTTCAGTTTCGTCTTTTGCAGTATGTATTGCTCTTCGTCTATACGTCATAACACGACAATTTTCCCGAAAGCGCACACCGAAAGGCATAACATCATCATGGTTTCTTTGGATTTGAACTCTAAATTTTTTTGCACATTATGGCACATATAGATAAATCTAAGTGCACACCTGTACTATCAGATTGCATATTTGAAGATTCATTGACAGACCTGTTTGGTTTCATCGATAATGTATTTTATGATCTTGAGGCTGCTTATGCAATACATTAACTAAAAAGACAAGTTGATAAGAGTGTGTCAAAACATTAATTGGTGACTTGGTGTTAGTGGGCGGCGTTGGCCCAATGGAATGGACGTTTAGAAGTAGGACACAATTATACGGATGCATGCAGATTCATATGAAGCCAAACAACACTATAGTAAATATATGGATAATATTTGAATTCCACTCAAATATTAACATTATATTATTTAAATATTATACAATTTAAGTTCCACTGCAAATCATACGAATGCCCACAGATTCATAATCAATAGGACTCTTTTCTTATCTTGTCATCATCCTAAAATCTTGAAAAGAATCTAATTATAATATTTGATTTTAATCTTGGTAATTGGATTAAATTACACTAATATCCTTTCTAATTAATTGTGTTTAAAATGCACATAGAAATATTTAATTATCTAGACTATTGATTAAGCAAATTTGAATGGATTAGATTAGTTCTTAGGTTCCTACCTAACAAAGGGTTCTTACTTGAAGCCTCCCATATATATATATATATATATATATATATATATATATATATATATATATATATATATATATATATATATATATATATATATATATATATATATATATAAAGCTCGGTCTATTTTGTTTGAATATAAACTTCAGGTACAATTGATATTTTGTGTACTTTACAAATGAAGAAGCTAAATGTGTACAATATTGAATGTCGGAAGTGTAAGTCGGGCACGGTTCATTTCCTGGCCAAGGTATAATACGGAAGCAGTAACTGCAACAGCATTAGCTTAGGTTACCGTGTTATTTAAGTTTATTATCGTAAAAAACAAACATGATAGTGACAGTTTGTGTACTCTGTCATAATATCCATCACGCCTGTTTTTTGATATATATTTTAAAGCTCACGACATATTTATTATGAATACATAATATTATATGTCGCGAGACTTAATTGCGGATTGTTGGTCCCGAGAGGGTGGTGAGAAGTCTAGAGGGGGGGGGGGGGGGTGAATAGACTTCTCTAAATTTTCAACTTCTTTTAGAAAACAGACAAGGCAAATAACACTTTGGTAATTTCAACTCTAAGTAACAAGCATCAACAAGATAAACAACTTAGAGTGTGCAGCGGAATAGGTAGCGGTAAAGTGTTATGCTTAATAGTGCGGTGCTCAAAGAGAGATTCTAAACATGCAATACGTTAGAAACACTTGATATGGTTCAAAGATGATGTACGTAAAATTTGGCTTGCATGCAAACGTGGGAACTATCAAACCCAGACAGATAAAGATATGCGATAAATCGTAATTGGGTTAGTTCGCAGTTAGAATAAGCATGCACAAAATATATGAGCAGTAAGTAAATAAAGAGAGAGATTTATAGTGGTTCAGAGGTGGTGTAATCCTCCTTTCACTTCAAGGAGGAAATTCACTATTCTTCGATCACCCAGATACAATAGTGAATAAGTGTCCACCGACACTTCTTCGAGTGCTTCGCACAAAGCTACACTCCTCCAAGGTTTTTCGCAAGCTCCTCTTGTTACTCCGCCTTCCCGAGTACTTCGCACCAAGCTGTACTCCTACACCACGAGAACTACGCACAAAGCTACGCTCTCACAGGGTTTTCACAAGCTCCTCTTGTTACTCTGCCCTTTACAACGAGTGCTACGCACAAAGCTACACTCAACCAGGGTTTTTCACTCTCTCTAGTTACTCCGCCCTCTTTCTACACTCAGTAGAGAAGTTTACAAAGAGATAAAAATTTTCTCTCACTCAGACTTGAATTTAGTCGTGTATAGCTCAATATATTGCTTCTTGGCTGATTTGAGTATTGCTTGCTTTTCTCTTGCTTGTATATCTTTTAATCGATCAGCCGTGCTTGTCTTCGAGTCTGCTTGAGCAATTTATAGCCAATGAAAGCTATTTGCCCGTTGATCAACTTTCGATCTCGATCGTCCATTTTGAATTGTAGTTGATCAAATATTGTCAACTTGATCTGAAATATTAGGTAGAAGTCTTTTCTCCTTTTGTCAGATGATTTGAATATTTTGCCCGTTGCCGTGTCTTGAATTTTGTAGCCTCCAAAATTTGAATATGTTCGGCGCGACAAGCTTGATATTTCTTGTCCTTCATAAATGCTCTGACATGTCAAGTTGATCAAATAATTTATCTGCTGATTCTTGCTTGAGTATGAAACAATTTCTCCGTGAATCAGCCTCCTTCGAGCGTCTCCGGTTCCACCGTAAAAAGTTGATGTTCAGATGAAAATATATCAGATATTTTCTCCTTCATGATCCTTGTAAAACAATATATTGGAACCTCTGTAGAAACTTCATAGTTGTTCATGGTGAGATGCTCTGTTTCGATTTTATGCTTGGTCCACCATACTTCGTGTGTTTCTTCATCTGGTGCATGGCTCTTGTGAGACTTGTGCATTCACCTTGGTTAGTCTCCAGTTTACTTAGTCTCCAAGTATGGTCCACCATACTTGGTGTGTTTCTTCATCTGGTGCATGGCTCTTGTGAGACTTGTGCATTCACCTTGGTTAGTCTCCCAGCTAGTCTCCAATTTAGCTAGTCTCCCATATGGTTTAGATAGTCTCCAATACGGTGGAGATAGTTTCTCAAGCAACTGGTAAAAATGCTTCACTTGAGATTCGAACTTGGGATCATTTGGCATAGCTCACACGCATATCATCCAACTCCTCTAACATAGCTCTTAATGACTTATCCGCATCATAATTGTGTTAAGCTATAATCCCGCTTAACTTCTTAAAATAAATTATGATCTTCCAGACTTGTACATGGGTTGCATGATATGGGTGCACCATACTGAGTAGACTCAAACTTACTCAAATAGAATAAAATTGGGGACTACTTGATTTTTCAAAAAATACATTCGGCTCATCAAAATTTACAATTTATTCCTAACAAGGATCATTGATTTTTCGCAAGAATTAATTGCGGATCAAGTGTCATAGTTTGTACCTGCAAAAAGTTAAATAAATCAAAATTAAAATGAGTAAGACCGAATTGGTATATGTATATAAGATATATATGAATGTATATGTATATATGCAACTTACAGTTGGTATATTTTTTTTCCCCATTTGTTGGTTGAAATATAAAAAAACATATGAATGCGTGGGTTGTGTTTGGAATTTCCGAAGTTTGCCAACCCAAAGTAACAAGTATACATTGGTAGTTTAAACATGATAGAGGTTGTAGTGGGAGTATAGTGAACATCACATATTTATAGGCATTGAAAACGCATGTACCATTTGCGTTTACCATGCCTAGAATGCATTTCCAAGTTGCGAAATGTGTTGAAGTGGAATGTGAAAAAAGCGCAAGTACTAGTATGATATTTTTATTGATGAGTTTTGTGGTATTTTCAAATATTTAAAAACCTTTAAATATGATAAAACAGGTAAACTAAAAAACAATACGACGTTAAAGTATATATTACACAAATTGGAAGTGCAAACTGTTCACTGATCATCCTCAGTTGATGTATACTGCTCCCAACAATGACTCAACTATGTCTGCTAGGGCAATTGGAGGATGGCATAACGTGTTGAATGGAGT